TTTAGTTCAAAAGATTGGTTATAGTGTTTTAGCAATCGAGAAAAACTGTAATAGATGTTTTCCTTTTGTTCAACACAGTGAATCCAATGGAGTTTGGGATCTTTCAATGAGATCTGTGGTGACTGTTTTGACAAAGGGTGTGAAAAATGTGTGAAACAAATGAAAAAGTGTTAAGGCATTTGAAAGAGAAGACTTCTCCTGTGCTAAGAATGTGATGATGAAGATCAAGTGAATCCCAGTTTCACTGAGCGTGTCTTAGCAAATGAGAAAAACTGTAATAGATGTTTTCCTTTTGTTCAACACTGTGAATCCAATGGAGTTTGGGATCTTTCAATGAGATCTGTGGTGACTGTTTTGACAAAGGGTGTGAAAAATGTGTGAAACAAATGAAAAAGTGTTAAGGCATTTGAAAGAGAAGACTTCTCCTGTGCTAAGAATGTGATGATGAAGATCAAGTGAATCCCAGTTTCACTGAGCGTGTCTTAGCAAATGAGAAAAACTGTAAATACTTTTCCCTGTGATTTATTGAAATTGATCTTTTGATAATAATTGATACTTTATTGATCCCTGTGGGGATCACACAGCGCGCTCAGCTAAAGCAGACAGTGAAACGGTCTGTTCATAGTCTTACTGACACATACAGCAAAATCACATAACTGACACCTTCCACTAGTTTATTCTGTAGGCTGCGTATGACAGACAATAAATATTAATAATCTTAACCTTCTTTCAATTGCACGTTCTTAAAGGTGAATGTGGATCCGTTTTGACAGACTATATGACAGAGCAGAAGCCCAGTGCAGGTTATAATGTCGATAGGTTAACAGAAGATTAGGTCGATCGCATTAGCTAGAAACGTCTGCTGAGCTTGGGATCTGACCGGCATCTGACATCCTGGACATGATTTGTACAGGACAGTATTTAACCCTTTTCATTAGAGTGTCCCGATGTTAAGTGGTAACCAGGCAACGCTGGCTACACGTTAAAGGTTCCTATGCTCTTAGGTTTTTTTATACGATATTATTAAATCAGTTTCTGTATAATTAACATGATTCATTTTGATCAGAAACGGGCACAATGCAATACATAAAAAACACTGATTCATGCCAATTTCATTTAGTAACAGGTTTCAGCAATAATAGATTTAATTGTCGTCCTGAGGTGGCAGGTCTGAAGTGATACAGGGCCATAAATTCCATGCACACAAGTCAGAACAGCAGGCAGGTGTGAACTCCAGGTTTTTTTGCGTTATTTGATCCTGAATCTGTAACTTTAATGCAGTGGTGTAAAGTACTTGAGTAAATGGACTTCGTTACTGTACTTAAGTATTTTTTTGGCTACTTTGTACTTGTACTGAGTATCAAAAATATAAGCAACTTTTACTCTCTACTCCACTACATTTGTGACTGAATATATGTACTCTTTACTCCACTACATTTGAACGGACGCTTACCGTTACTCGCTACATTGTGATTGCATGCGACAAGTTAGGATCTTTATCTACCACGGCTAATTTCGTCAAGTTTTTCTGGCGGCAGCCTGCAGGCTGC